TGAATCCTGAACGGCAACCGAACCTGTCGCGTTGGGGATCTCGGCGGTGAGTCTCGCCTGGCCTGCATACATGGACATTGCAACATCATAATAATAAACAACATACATGTACTTTCCTTTGGTATCAGTATTCCACGTAAGATTTTCGTCGCCTGTGTGGTGTGTTTCTCCACCAATGAGCGCGTACTATGATTATTTGTCGCTGTTCTCACACTTTACCATTTTAGCAGCTTGCATATGCCATTGATATATGTGGAAAGCGCGCACTTGCGCCATTTCTGGTGTATAAGAATGATCATTCCTCCATTATCATCATTATCACCCTCTACTGATGAGCTCCGACAGGGAGCGAAACAGCTGTCTAGAGGCGTGGAGCAATAATCATTATCTCTCAACGGAAGTGTCCTTGCTGGTGTCTGTATGGTTCGGCTGAAGAGCGCGTGGTTGTGATGAGTTGGGAATGCAATGATTATTGTTATTATTATTATTATTATTGTAAAAGAGACAAGGACATATGGATACGAGTTAAGAGTAACTCTCCATCACTGTAACATGATACTATATACAGTCAGAAAGTGCAATAACTAGGCACAAAACTGACAGAGTACTGAGACATGCGACGTCCTGACACCTAACTTCAACACATCTCCGTAGCGCTAACCGACAGCCTTCCAACTTGGAAGGTTCAAGGTTATGGAAAGACCAAAGAGGGGAAGGCAAGCGCAACGAAAACGAGCAAAAGCTATAGTCCCAAAGGAACAAAGAATGTCGATTGTTACTGGACGATGACGAGACCAGTACGATATTTGACAAAGCGGTCTAACTACAATTCGAAACAGCAAAGCAGCACACCACCAAACTTGGGTGGGTCATAAATATCAAAGATAAGTAAAGAAAGGGAAGCTTTGCGAAAACGCATTGTACAAGCCGAAAGCCAAACTCCTACAGTACTCCTCATGCATGACATTGTGATGGGCTAGTTGACTACAAAACAAGTTGTTTCACACGACGGAGATGTGCTGAAGTTAGGTGTCAGGACGTCGCATGTCTCAGTACTCTGTCAGTTTTGTGCCTAGTTATTGCACTTTCTGACTGTATATATTATCATGTTACAGTGATGGAGAGTTACTCTTAACTCGTATCCATATGTCCTTTTCTATTTTACATTTATTTATGGCTCAACATCCGAGTTTCAAATTGCACACCTGATGAGCCGTCACGAACCATACGGCGAAACGTACGTCGTGTGAAACAACTTGTTTTGTAGTCAACTAGTCCATCACAATGTCATGCATGAGGAGTACTGTAGGAGTTTGGCTTTCGGCTTGTACAATTCGTTTTCGCAAAGCTTCCCTTTCTTTACTTATCTATGATATTTATGACCCATCCAAGTTGGGTGGTGTGCTGCTTTGCTGTTTCGAATTGTAGTTAGACCGCTTTGTCAAATATCGTACTGGTCTCGTCATCGTCCAGTAACAATCGACATTCTTTGTTCCTTTGGGACTATAGCTTTTGCTTGTTTTCGTTGCGCTTGCCTTCCCCTCTTTGGTCTTTCCATAACCTTGAACCTTCCAAGTTGGAAGGCTGTCGGTTAGCGCTACGGAGATGTGTTGAAGTTAGGTGTCAGGACGTCGCATGTCTCAGTACTCTGTCAGTTTTGTGCCTAGTTATTGCACTTTCTGACTGTATATAGTATTATGTTACAGTGATGGAGAGTTACTCTTAACTCGTATCCATATGTCCTTTTCTCTTTTACATTTATTTATGGCTCAACATCCGAGTTTCAAATTATTATTATTATTATTATTATTCGAACGGCCTCTGCTGGGATGACGACTACACCATAGCTCAGTGGTTAGAGCATCGCTGGCTACAAGCGAAGGTCCCTGGTTCGAGTCCTGGTGGTGACAGTATATTTTTTCTTCAGACTTTTCCCGTTTGTCTCTTTCCCTCAAACCAGTCAATATTTTATGACTTGGGGCTCCCCGCGTGCTAGTTTGTACGTGAAGTGTGTGGGTTACAGTGAGGGCTGCGTCCCACCCGCCTGTGTGGATTCATAGGAAGTGTGAGTTACGAAGTCTGAAGAAAATGTTGAACGGCCTCTGCTGGGATGACGACTACACCATAGCTCAGTGGTTAGAGCATCGCTGGCTACAAGCGAAGGTCCCTGGTTCGGGTCCTGGTGGTGACAGTCAATTTTTTCTTCAGACTTTTCCCGTTTGTCTCTTTCCCTCAAACCAGTTAATATTATTATTATTATTAACTGGTTTTGAGGGAAAGAGACAAATTATTATTATTATTATTATTATCTGTCAAGTGTCATTAATGACATTGTACATGATCATCACTGCGTGCGCTCGATCTAATCATTGATTGTCTTTATTTTATGTTTTGCCCGTACAAGAGGCATGGTTTGAGTTCAAAAAAAAATTGAATATTTCGGCCACCTGTATGTGGCCAGCTGTGTTTGATAGTACGGTACGGGACAAATACGGGATAGCGCCAGGCGTGACACAAACACACAAACAAACAAACACCAAACGAGAGAGCTTGGAAGCTCAGGGCCCTACGCTATGCTTTTTTGCCTTGATGACCTAGACAAAAGGAAGCATAGGGATGTTATAAATTCTTTAAAAATTCCTTTTTTAAGACATAACCTGGGATTCGAACCCACACTATCGCGCGCCCTGCATGCACCACCCGATACACTTCGCATACAATTCTTCCAAGTTAGTTGCTTCACGTTATGATCTTGCATTTGAAAGTCCTATTTGAATATGCATTGTGGTCAGCCGTCTTTGATGGTACGGTACGGTACGGGATAGGTACGGGACAGGTACGATCGAGGGTAATACGACACCGTCTACCGCCTTGATGACGGCAAAAAAAGCATAGGGATGTTATAAATTTTTCAATTCTCCTATTTTTTTCAGGCATTTCCTGGGATTCGAACCCGCACTATCGCCCCACATGCATTCCCCCATACACTTCGCATTCATACCATTCCTCCAAGTTGCTTCACGTTATGATCTTGCGTTTGAAAGCACTACTAGTATTTGAATATTGCGGCCAGCTGTATGTGGACAGCTGTGTTTGATGGTTCGGTACGGTACGGGACAGATACGGGATAGCGCCAGGCGTGACACAAACACACAAACAAACAAACACACAAATACCAAATTAAAGCTGTGTGGACCCTGGCTAGCGCCAGACGTTACTGAAGTAACGTCTTCTGCATAGCTACGGGAATTAAAGCTGTGTGGACCCTGGCTAGCGCCAGACGTTACTGAAGTAACGTCTTCTGCATAGCTACGGGAATTAAAGCTGTGTGGACCCTGGCTAGCGCCAGACGTTACTGAAGTAACGTCTTCTGCATAGCTACGGGAATAATACTAAAGTCTTGCACGCTGCCTATGCCCAGGAGAATCGAATGAGACCAAAATCGAAGCAATTGGAGAAAGTTTTGAAAATTGGGTATTGTCACTACTTACAGAATTCTTCACATCTCAGAAGATTGCTCCTCAGAGCAGTTCCATTGACCATCGTTTGTGTTGTGGTGGCATTATTGCCTCTGCCGTTGGTGCACGGAGGTGCAGAACAGTTAGTGTAGCCTCTGTCACACTCGAGTGTGCCGGTCATTGCATTGATCACCAGTCCAGTGCTGTTATCATCATCCGGAAATGCTGCAGGAACATGGCAAGTTGGTGCAAGAACACACACGCACACACACACACACACACACACGCACACACACGGACCTGGTCCTGGTCCTGGTAAACACTGCCATTACGGTCACGTGTCCCCTCGCGGGGCCGACAACATGGAAAACGACGCGCGACGGCAGAAAGTCGGCAGTTTGCCGAGAGATCAGGGACCATGTTCAATCGGCACGAGGAGAGAGCCATCTCCGGCAGCTATGGATTTGGAATCAGGGAGTCGTAAAATACCGGGAGGCGACACGCCACACATTTCACGATCCGAGGATTGCCGCACTCGACCCGCGAAATTTGAAGCGTGATTGAAACGTCGTCGTCATCTTCTTTTTCTCAATTGTTTTTGCTATATGCTTCGAGGCTATTCTGGATCTCCAGAGCGAAAGCTGGTTGTTTCTGATACGTACCACGCATTACCTTAGGTTGAGCCGTGGCTTTTAATTTTTTTTAGGAAGTTCACTGCTTTGGAGACGACGGAATGTCAAGGTAAGTTATTCACGAAATGTACTCAAATTTGAATTGAGTCAATGCGAATGACACCCTGTTTTCGAAATAGTTCTCCACTAAACACACCATGCCCATGGCCCCTTCATGTTGTCCAAGTTCCATTCTAGGTTTGTGTGAAGTTTCGAGATGAAGTTCGACGATGTACTCACCTTTCCATGGAAGGGAAAAAAAAGTAGCATATCAAACAGAATCCATGCAGTATTTGATGCCACTATCCTCATTCTTCTGCATTCAAAGTGTTTCACATCTATATGGCCCATGAACTGCAAACAATATTTGTCATTTCTTAACTGTTCATAGCTGTTCATAACTGTTCTGAACACATTGCCTTCAGGAAACGTAAGGCCGAGTCGCCTCACCGACTGAGCAAAGTTCTCTGCGACGAAAGTCACACTATCGGCGAATGCACTCAAGGTGAATACCCGTCAATATCCTGTATACTGCTTGTACCGCTTATCACAGTAGCATACACACAAGCACACATACATACACACCTGGTCCTGGTCCTGGTAAACACTGCCATTACGGTCACGTGTCCCCTTACGGGGCCGACAATATAGAACGACGAGCGGGACCACGTTCGAGAGAGCCATCTCCAGCAGCTATGGATCTGGCTTATCATGGGAAACAATTCCTCTCACGGCTGCCGCTACTACCAACTACCGCACGAAGACATACAAACACACACACACACACACACACACACACACACACACACACACACACACACACACACACACACATGCATGCTCGTGCACACACAAGCGCAAAATTCACATATCACTGGTTCAGTTGTTTTTATCTGTGTCGTATTTTGTCTTATACAGAGCGTGTTGCTTGTGTGTGTTGAGCATGCTGGGGAACTGGGAATGGGTTATTAAATTAAGCTGGTGAAACAAGGAGCATGCAGCAGGCACAAGTACAAACGTATGCTTCTGCTCTTCATGCTGTGTTGCAGCTATGGGTGCTGCATAGCCATGGTCACGGAGCGGTTGGTCATTTCTGGGCAACGCTTGATGCTCAGATGTTTGGAGAATGGCTCCAAAATTCTCCAAACAAGGCTGAAGGCTTGTCACGGCATCCTTGCCAAATAAAGGTATAAGCTGCAGCAAGTTGTCGTTGCGACACCTTGCTCCTTCCAGCTCACGCCGCACGGCCACCAAGCACCAACCACCATGGTACTTTTCAGCAAGGTGAGACAAATTGTCAATCACCGGTTCGGGGATGGCTTCAGCAGCTTTGGATGGTGCTATTGACGCTTTCCTGATAGCAGCGGCAGCCGTGGCATGCAGGTAGCTTATCAGATTCGCTAGCACTGCAGATGTAACTTCCAAATCTGAAGAAGAGAAAAGAAAAAGACAACATATAAGGACTGGTGGTTGCAGAGACTGTACTAGTATTCAAAAGCCAGCGTTTGCATACCTAGTCTGCATACCTAGTCAGAAGCCAATTTTTTCCAACGTGCATGCAAAACGCACTGACCTTCACAATTGATTTTCACTTCGGGAATAGCTGTTGCGATGACGGATAGCATTTGTTGCCATGCTTGCGAAATATCAGCACCCTTGCATGCCTTCAGCTGGCACACTTCCTGGCGTAGCAGATTTGCAGTACCTGATGCCTTGTGTAACTGTGTCGTAATAACATGCAGGAATGACTCCGTCGCCTCAGTAACACTCGCCTGTCTCATTGTCAGCAGTTTGCAAATTCCATGGATCACTGCACCTTCCATAGGCCTGTACACCATGATGGCACTACCACTCTTACATCGATCTGCACATAGACAAAGTATGGTTTGAGGATGGAGGTTTACATCATCTACGGTGATGATACATACTAGGTATACACGTAAATTTTCAGGACTTCAATAAATATCCTGTCACAGTGAACAGACAATGCATCGTGGGCAGACTAGGATGAAAAGGATGGTGTCGACCATCTAATTTATCGGGTCAGTTCGGGCACTTAGGTATGCTACAGATTATACATTCGTGTCCACAAGGAAGAGACAAAAACATGCAAACGAAAGAATCTCACCTGTAGCCCACAGCTGAACATCCCCACAACTCAGGTCACCAAGTGAATACGTGGCGTCATCTACATCTTCCACGGTGGACTCATCACTTTGGCAGTCATCTCTGTCAAGCTCCATCATCCTTTACTTCGAAGGCCAAGGCACAAAGTATTATTACTTTGAAAAACAAAACGAACTGCTGACACTGGATTCGTTGTGTGCAGGATAATTTTATTGAGTTTTCAAATTTGTTGGACCAAACAGCGAACGCGTCCTTTTGCATGACCTGCGCCGCTTTGACCTCATGGGAAGTCCCTCGCCATGCAGCGCGTGAGGTCTCAGCACTCGTGCCCGAGCTGAGGCAATCATCCGACGCGGTTGTGCATCTCGTGTCGCCTCCCGGTATTTTACGACTCCCTGTTTGGAATCCATGAGTAGAGCGGCAGCACCGGCCACAGGCCCCACAGTGGGCCTTGCAGCAATAGAGGGCGAGCCGCACACGCGGCGGCGGAGGAGTCGCCTGAGCAGCAATGGCAGACACTGCCGCACACGCACACGCACGCACACACACACACCTCAGACCTCAGACCTGCCCATCGCGGAAGCGATGATAGCGAACAGATATGTAAGACATAGCAACTTGTGCTGGCATTGCACCATTCAACAGCTTGCAAGGCTGAAGAATTGACCGCCACTATTTTTAGCCTTCTTATCCACCAGACAGCTGATTGAAGTGACTTCTTCTGGCCAGTGAATCCCTATTTTTCATTTTTTTCTTTTTCGAAATACACCCACCAAGCCACATACTCCAGCATATACTGGCTGTTGGTAACCACCCAGGAGAATGAAAGAAGAGCTAGGAGAATGAAAAAGAGAAGAAAGATGCGTGTGACCATAATCGTCGGGAATTGGACCCGCAACCTCTCGATTGGAAATCGACTGCACATACCACTGCACCATATGGGACACACACACACACACACATGCATGCACACACACACATGCATGCACATACACACACACGCATGCACATACACACACACACGCATACACACACACACACACACACACACACACACACACACGCAAGCACACACACATGCAAGCACGCACAACACAGCATGTGTGTTCAACAAACTCGGCCCATTGCTATTTTGCATTTACACCCGTGACGCACCACAGTGCTTCCAACATGCATTAAATCAACTTTATGCCGATGATATCACACTCTATATCAGGCACAAGTCCATCCAGATCATCACAACCCAGCTGAGTGCTGACCTTGCCGCTCTGGACCGCTACCTAGATCAGAAGGGATTGGTGTTAAACCCGTCCAAGACTCAGTTTGTCCTGCTCAGGCGACCGAGCACGGAGCTGCCACCTGGCACCGCAGTCAACTGCCGGGGCACTTCCATAGTCCCATCTGCTTACGCTCGGTACTTAGGAATACTGGTTGACGAACATCTGTCTTTCTCAACCCAAGTGGATGCAGTATGTGCAAATGTCAATAGGAAGGTTGGAGCATTTGTCCACGCAAAGCAGAATATCAGCATTTTTGGCAAACGACTTTTCTATTTATCGATCATTCAGTCCACATTTGAGTTTGGCAGCACTGCATATATTCATTGCTTATCACAAGCCCTATATGACAAGCTTCTTACTGCCAGCCGCGTAGCATTAGAGAGAATATTTTCGTTGGATAGAATGACTCCCACCACTCTTCTATACAGTCATACTAACTTGTACGCCCTTGAGAAACGCCTCAACTTCAAAACCTATGTATTTGTTTACCGCTGCCTGAATGGACTTGCTAGTCCTCTTCTGCGAGACCGCTTTACCTTGCGCGCCCATGGTGCTCGCACTGCAGCCACCACCCGTGGCCAAGTCTCTGCTGCTCTTGTTCTGCCCCCCGCTAACACCCGATATGGCTTTAGTGCAATTTCTTATTTGGGCGCTGCCAGGTGGAATACACTTCCACCGGCTTGCCGCATGTCTAGTTCACCAGCTGAATTTCGCTCATCCATCAAATTATACCTAGGGTTCCCTGTAAAAAGGCGCTGACGCCTGTTGGGAATTCCCTAGTAAAAGAAGAATAAATAATAATAATAATAATAATAATAACAAACGTACAATGACAATCATCGAAACCCAACACCAACACCATCTTCAGCAGTCTTTTGCTGAAGATCCGTATGAATTCGATCTCAATCTAGATCGGCATCAGCAAATCCCACGTCATTCGACATCTGACTTCTACAAGAGCCGGTGTAATCCCAGCATCATCTGATTCGCTACAAGTTGAGCTGAAGATCTACCTGGTTTGTTTCCAAAGAGTCCAGCTGAAATGGTAACCTGTCGTAAACTGTCTCGCTGCATTCCTTCAACATGTTCTTAGATGCACATCTCATAAGACTGACAAAGTACATTAATATAAAAAGCAGGGGTGAAACGAGTATCTATTTTGACCAATCGATCACTCGTTCATAATATTCGATCGAGTATCCGATTACTTCGAGTATTTATCAAAATTCAAAAGCGCTAGATTTGTGAGTTCTCGACCAATTCGGAAGAAATTATCTGTGGACATAGAACAAAAGTCGCCAACGTCTTGTACAGAGTGTAAAGTAACGATTTTCACCAGTACTTTCATTATCTCATAACAAACTAGCGTTACTTGCCGTGGTGATCACATCGTCCAAGTCAAAAAATACTGACTCAAAGGCATGATACCAAGATTACATGAAAATGGTTTTCATGTAGATCTACTCTTGATGATACCAGTCGATGAGCGGTACAACAGAAGTTGTTTGAAAAATAGAACGCCAATATTAAAAAAAAAAACAAAAACAAAAAAAACGATCGAGTGCAAAATTTCGAATACTCGCTCGTTTGAAATTTTCGAACGAATACTCGACGATTCGAACTAATCGTTTCACCCCTAAAAGAAATCCATGCTTCCTAGAAGTGGAAACCCACCACAACCATTGTATACTCCAGTTTGGGTCAGTCTTAGTGCCGCAGTGTTTTGTAACTTAAGCCTGTCTGAAAATTATGGAAGCCTGATTTTCAAGATGCACTGTAGGAACATGAGCCTGGTTTTAGTGTTGGGCCAGTATCGCCTTTGTCCGATTCCTTGCCTCTGGTACGAGTGCTGGTGAGTAAATAAACCGTTATAATTATAATCAAAAGTCAAACTGCGACAATTTCGATGACGCGGAGGAAGTATTATTATTATTATTATTCTTTCATTCAACATCGTATGCCTCCACTGATGAGCTCAGGAGGAGCGAAACAGCTGTCTGGTGGGTCATTGTCGATATCAATCTACATGTTTATACATGTATCTAAATTGTCCTCGCTGTGGTTATGGTGATGTGAGTGCAGAGTTTGGATCGGCCAAGAGCGCAATGGGGTGGTGTGGTGTATTGGATTCCATAATGGCCCGGTCGTCGCTACTTCTTCTCAACTTTATTATTCATAATTATGTGTTGATGCAGGCGTTGGTTGGTCGGTTGGATTTATTTAAAGTCGTACAACACAAACAGGCATATCTGCCTCCTTATATGAAGACGACTTCTGGCAGTGAAACATGCGTTATGGCCAGATTATTATTATTTGAAACTCGGATGTTGAGCCATAAATAAATGTAGAAAGGAAAAGGACATAAGGATACGAGTTAAGAGTAACTTTCCATCACTGTAACTGGACTATATACAGTCAGAAAGTGCAATAACTAGGCACAAAACTGACAACAGTACTGAGACATTCGACGTCCTGACACCTAGTTTCAACACATCTCAGTAGCGCTAACCGACAGCCTTCCAACTTGGAAGGTTTAAGGTTATGGAAAGACCAAAGAGGGGAAGGCAAGCGCAACGAAAACTAGCAAAAGCTACAGTCCCAACGGAACAAAGAATGTCGATTGTTACTGGACGATGACGAGACCAGTACGATATTTGACAAAGCGGTCTAACTACAATTCGAAGCAGCAAAGCAGCACACCACCCAACTTGGGTGGGTCATAAATATCAAAGATAAGTAAAGAAAGGGGAAGCTTTGCGAAAACGAATTGTACAAGCCGAAAGCCAAACTCCTACAGTACTCCTCATGCATGACATTGTGATGGACTAGTTGACTACAAAACAAGTTGTTTCACACGACATACGTTTCGCCGTATGGTTCGTGACGGCTCATCAAGCTTCCCAGGCAGCATAAAAGAAATTTTCCATACCCGCTCTTCCAGTGCACATACTACTGCCGTCACTAGGTCCCAAATCTCTTTTTCTCTGGCCTTGCCTTCTGCCCACACTAAAGCTGTTTTTTCTCGTCTTGGCTACATAGGTTCTGATCGGTGGAATATGCTGCCTTCCACTGTTCGCTCTTGTACAGATAATCGCCCATTTGTTCGGTCATGCTTCACCTTTCTAGGGGCTCCCGTAAGAAGACCATAAGTCTGTGGGAAACAAGTGCAATAAAACCACTAGAGTTTTTCGGATCCTTAGTTCCGTATTTTTTTCCCACAGATGATAGGAAAGAGAAAATCGATTCTGGATTTTCAGTAATATTTTTGTTATAAAATACACAGTAATACATGTCAAACAAGTAACGTAGTTGCGTGATGTCTGCGGCCTTCATCCTATTCATAGCTATATTAAAATTATTATTATTATTATTTTAATATGGCAATAAGTAGGACGAGCTGAAGCGACATTTGGATTACTTTATTTACAATGTAAGCGATGGAGACGATGCAAGAAACAACCTAAAGGGTAAGGAAAAATACATGTAAACAGTTGTGAGCCTGAAGTGTGTCCTTTTCATGAGTATTAAAAATACATGTAAGAAGAAAAAGGGCAATGGAAAAAAAAAGATGATTCGAACAAGATTTCGTACAACACTCTTAAGGAATCACCGTTGTACTAAAGAACAAAATGAGAACAAAGGAAATAATAGCAATCAAGTTAGGGTGACACGATACAATGACAGCACTGGAATATCGCGGTGCGATTTCTCGCAAAAGTGTGCAGAAAACAAGGGTATACAAGTAAGAACTAAGCGTGACAAGTGTGTATCAGCAACAAAAACAAAAAAGTGAGAACGAATGATAATAATAACAATAATAAACAAGAAGGTGACGAAACACATTTAGGCACAAGTGGCAACAACGT